CGTAGCTTCACAAATGTAGAATTTTTCATTTTCTAATTACATATTACAGTTCATAAAGTATTCTCAAAACAGGGTGTTCCATAAGGTATGTGCGATCTATAACAGATTCTGAAATTAGAATCTCATTCTAGATGTTTTCACATTGATAATGATATTATTATTAGTTATTTTAATGAATGATAAATACAAAAATACATTATATTTTTTTAATGTAATTGATGTTTTTTCATAACAATCAAATTTAATTTAACTTATATATATTAAACGCCAACAAAAATTACTTGTGTAAATGAAATAAATGAATATTTATTAAGTTACAATATTTTTGTAGAAATAACTACAAAACGAGACTAATGTGAATTCATCTAAATATATTGCTGTTCATAAAGTTTTCATTTGTAAAATTATGTCTCCTCACATACTTTATTTAAACCGTAACGTATGCCTTGCCGCATAAATGTCTCAAATCCTTTAAAACTGTGATTAAATATTGACTCTATTTTTTAAATTTATTACTGTATTCCGAATTAAAAATATTCCAATTTATTTTTGTTAGGTCCCTACTGTTATTATATTGCAGAACAAATTTTTAAAATTTTATACTTTCTCAATTCTTGATATGTTAAAAAGTGTATAAAATCTCACAATGAAATATTATTTGTATATATCATCTAGTGTGTTATTTATTACAGCAGGAGGGACCATTATCTGGACAATCGAATTTATTTTCGTTTCCAAAGTACATCCTATAATGTGTAATAGATATTTTTGTAGATTAAAAAATTGCTTGTGCAAATTAGTTGTAGAAGAATAGATTTCCGTCTGACGTATGTCGTTCCAAATTATACTTTGCATTGTACATATGTGTATTAACAACGAATTCAATGTATTAAGATTCAAATGTAGAACGCAAAAAAAAACCGTGAATCGAATACTATTAGGTCGTGTAACATGAAATGTCGGATTGAAATGTCACGTTTATCTTGATTGACACTTAATATCGACCCTTAGATTCCCCAACAGTAACTTAACGAGAATTGTATGTACTTTAAATTAACACGAAAAAACTCAGAACATTTTAATACTCAACTAATCACTGGAGCAATCAATTTGCGAATGATTACAAATCTAACATTTCATATTACACGACCTGATAAATTGGATATCTGTTGAATATAAACACATTACAATTTAGAAAAGTATTCTATGAATCAAGCAACTTGAAATGAATACAAATTTGAATAAATTAGTTTTACTTAGTTTCATAGTAAAGCATGGTTTGTGTAATAATGTACATAAACATTTAACTATGTTATAAAGATAAAACCAATAGATTTATCCATAAATTGTGTAGCAGATTGAGTATTCGATTCTCAGTTTTATTGTATTACTGTAAACAAGCTCCTACGCTTAAATTAGCTAGAATACTCAAATTTGCAGCTTTAAGCTTAGATTAAGATAGAATAGAATAGAGTACAACAGAAAAATAGACTAAGGATGAATACAGATAATTATTTTATTTTGTTTTGAAAAGTGAACATATAGTATGATGTAACTGACAAACCATCCAATGATTGCAGTTTGTGCAATGAAAAATATAGTAGGTCTATTATATCATTCTTATAGAAATTTAATATTCCTTTAAAAATTTGATAAATGTTTGAAAATGTTTCAAACACATCATAAATAATTAACTAATCATATTTATAATATTAATCTAACATACAAGTTTTGAGAGATACACAAGTACATCAAATAGAACTCCT